TTACCATTAGTGCGCTATTATGTGCATTTTTAGTGATAACAGTAATTAATGACTAAATCATGAATCTTTTATGAACTTTTTTAAAAATTATTTCTTAACGCTTGAGTGTGGTGCATCTCAATAAAGACAGCACTGTAATACTTCCTACGAACTCACACAAAATGCAACTTTATTTCATAGGAACAATTTCCCTACTTCTTACCTTTTCAGCCTGGTGTTGATCGTTCTTGAAATCTGCAGGAACTGAAGGAAAGGGAGTGGACCCCACATCTCCTGCTGAGGGGGATTGATCAAATTTCAATCAAACAATGATTTCCGTTGGCTTTCGGCGTCATTAATGCAATCTGTCTTCAAGTTGAGACTCAGGACGTGTGATGTCCTGATCTAAAACGTTTGGTTACTAGTGCACTTGATCCATGTATAGTTGAGTAAAACAATACTGAACCAAAAGGATGTTGGTACATTTATTTTATCAGATAGAAATTTTTTCTTTGGAGATGACTTTTTACAAATTTTGGAGACTTGTGAACATAAATATCACGTAACGAAATTAATATTTATACAACAATTTATAATAATACTACAACTATACTGCTGGACTCCGAAATGGTGTTGGTGTGTCTTGAATTCACGAACTTTCTACAAAAGTGTACTGTCTTTACTCGTTACTTTTCAATGGTAATGAAGATGAGGTACATGGAATTTGTTACACACTTTGCTTGTGTATATGAACGCTTTAAAATATTGGCTCTAATATCATCCAAATAAAAGAATGTCTTGTTGTGAAATGATGAATTAAATTCTGTGTACAAATATTTTGAGTTTAAACACCATATGACTCAAATTGATTTCGGGAAAAAAGGTCATATGATTTTTTTTCCATTTCTTTTGAAGAACGGTAACTAATTCGTTAAAATTGTTAAATGCATTTTCAACCCGATTGAGAATCGAATCCGGGTAAATAAACTTAAATTGTTGTTCACATATGTCATAAAATGTCAGAATCTGAAAGAATCGATATTTATTTATTTGTTGAAGAATTACGAACGTTTAAAATTAATCTGCGCTAAAACAAGGACATACTCTCCATGAAAAACTAGGCAGAACATTTCTAGGAAAAATTAGACAAAAATTACTAGGTGTATGAAAATGATTTACTTAGTTCTTTATCACTCAACAACACGATAACACAATGGAATTTCAGTGCACAAAAATAACTTTTCTTATTTCTTTAAGTTACACTTTTATTGCTCGCCGTTTTTATTCGCCTTTTATTTTGCGGTAGGCGCAAGAATGCTTCTTTTGCACTCGCAAAACATCACATAAAATGTATTTGTATTTTCATATTTTTTAGATTCTCCTAATATGAACTGGTACTTGACTCACTTAAAGTCCATCGTCTTCCCTGCAGCAATACAATACAAACTTTCATTTCGACCAAAATATATTTATATTGCAAATGAATACGTTCCTATTTGTTTCGTGAACAAAAATTTTAATTGACTATTCCTCACGTGATTTAGTGTCAATAGCGTGTAACAACAGTTTGGTACGTCACAATTACAGCGGGATGTCTTAAACGAGCATCACTTTTCCTGATTTTTCTTTTGGGCACTCAAAGACTGCAATACACCAGTCTTATATGCTGACATGCACGGGAAGCGCGAGTTTCATCAACCCAATTAAAATTTTTGCAATCTGAAATAGTTCGACATTTTTCCATTCGCGTGATAGTTGTATTAAACACCATTCAGCCATTGTACATTTTCGGATAAATTCCCTAGTTTCTTGCCAGTCGCGAAGATATTGACCAGGGAATTAAACTGAGTATTTTCAATGCATTTATGATGAAAAATTATTTTGAGACTGAGACCAAAGTAGTATTTAAATCAATTATATGTTCAATTTTGAAAAACACTGAACACGTAATAAAATTACTATTTAAAGAAAATTTTTATTACATTTACTTAGTAAAGTGATACTGCAATGAAAGCGCACTGCAAATTAAAGATATTTAAAAAACTACCTTTCTTCAGAGTTAATCTTACTCTTCCGAGAAAATGAAATATAAGGCAATTTTCTATGTATATAATGCATGTATACGTCAGCAGCGAATTCAATGCACACATATTTCGTTTCTATAAATTCTCTCTCAACATTGTCTAGTTTGAGAGCAAAAGCATCTAATGTTACACATTTATTAAAAGTATTTTGTTTGCCATCTTTTGTTTCATCAGCCAGTCTTCAGAAACTTCCAATTAACGAGTTTCTATTTTTCTTTCTCGTATTTTGGTATTTTAGGAGATTCACAAATAGTGCATATGAGTCGTTTCACTTATCAATAATTTGATGAATATTGATTTTAATTTACTGCATGTATCACAACATTATAAAGTTTTCTGTTGTATTAAATGAAAATACATTGAAACATTAATCTAAATGCAGTGCATGTTGAAAATATCAATTAACTTTACTGAGAAAGTAACTCAGAATGAATCATTTCATGTGGGAAAGAGCACATCAGCGAGTTCCTTGCAATATTAGCAATAAATAACTCGTTGCTATTTTGTCTTCAAAAGCATCGATTCCCGTATAAAGTGTATTTTTGGTCACTTAAGACCTACATATTGATGCGACCTTAAATTTAAAGAATAGTGTATTTAGTATTTTTTCAATTTTGACGCAATTGGATATCACTGCAACTTAATGCATTTTCCAAAACTCGAAGGGTTGTTTTAGACTTGGGAGATAATTTGTGAACAGCAATTCTGATGACCGCTTGGAGGCAAAGGTATCAAGCTACGATGTAGGGCTGTTATAATTTGCACTATAAAACCGTCAACTCACAAATTTTCTTTTTTTAAATCTATATTCCAAAAATGTTTTTACGGGAATTGTTGGAACTCCCCTCAGAGCTTTGGCTCACTATACAAAAACAATATTCTAATCGTTATAGAAGAGAAATTCTCAAGAAACTGCTTTGAAAGCGTGTCTCAGCAAAATGATATTAGAAACAGTTGTTCATCTAATTAAGGAGAAAAGAGTGGGGAACTATTTTTTTAATTCTTGGAAAGTCCATTGATGTTTTGAGGCAGACATTCACAGTGTAACAAATGGACCTTCCAAGAAAAAAATATCAAGAAAGGCAATGTTTGAATAATTTAATTCAAGTAATTTGAAATTTAATCTTCGTCAAATAAATTATTGTTTCCCTCCACTTTCCCACTACAAGTGATTCACCCTGTGTAATAGTTCATCCTTGATTACTCTTTGCTTTAATCAACTTCTGTGATGGTTTTTCAGCAGTATCCGCAGATGCAATAAGGCATCTGCTGTGTCTTCACAGACACTCAGCAATTGGTGGGTTAGATACTCTTTACTTCTCCCCACTCAGGATCAGATGCTGTGAATTTCTTCTCTAGAGAACAGTACTGCCAGATCTTTTGTATCAGGAATTTGGAGATATTTGGAGAGTGAAATGAATTCTATCAATAAAATACTACCTCATGATTTTTGTCTTCTTGCTGAAAAAGTTAATCTGTTGACAAAAGTGACTTGGTTGTCTGCTTGGGATCGTCTGCCTGATATTAAACTTTAAAGTGGTGTCACCTATCTCATTTTGTTTTGGAAATTTGAGAATGTAGACCAAAATTCTTGCTACAGTATTGTCCTTTTCAATTATTTTTGCAAGTAGACTTTTCAGCTATTTCTCAATAATGACTTTTCAAGATTTATATTTTTATAAAAAATTCACCGTGACCTGAAAGTTAATGAAACATTTTCTAGTAATCAGTTTAGGATCAGATTATTTTCTCCCGGGGCCTCATCAAGTGGCATTTTTGTTCTATAACATTACTATGGCAATGATGTGCTAAAATTAAGAAAATACCTTTCGATACAATTTCATTGTATCATTTTGCATGAAGGTATGTTTAAAGACTGGAGCCAAAGATAGTATACTCAGTAGACTAAAATCAATGGAGCTCTGGGTTTCTGAACGTTTAATGCAACGCAGTATGTGCGATAGATGTAAGAAATATGATGAAGACTCTGACTGCTATGCAATTAGTTAGAAACCTTACTCATTCCCACAATGAAGAGGTTCATATTTAGACTAATGGTGTTGCTCTGCTCGTTCTTCCATTGATTTTGTAATTACTAAGTATAGGATTATAATGAATGCTATTTGGGCCTCCAGTATATTGCCTTGGCTAATTTATTTCTGTTGTTACTTGTAAAAAGTGATTAATGTTCTCTTCTCAGAGATGTTTGTACGAGTATTCCTCATCAACAAGTTGAAGATATTTTACAACTGTAATGAAGATCATCCGGATATACTTATACAGGAAATGATGAGATTTGATTGAAAGGGGTAGGATAAGGAGATGAGAGGCCCGGTATAGAATCGATAGTTGAGGAAACACAATACTGGAATGTGTTCAAGAAAGAGATACGAACAGAAAGGGAAAAGGAGGCAAAAAAGGAGAGAAGGTGGAAGGAGACAAGCGATAGGACGTTAAGAGGTAAGGCAACAAGGAAAAGGGCCTCAAAGGACAGGGGACAAAGGATATGGGAGATGGACCACAGGTAAACAGAAAGAAAAGTAGAGTTGAATTGAGGAGAAGTGGAAAGGACGAACATATCGCAAGGGGGGAGGAGGGGGGGTCTACTTGATGTCGCAGAGGAGCGCGACGCCGCGTAGCGTCCAGTGGCGAGGGTTGTTGTCCGTCTCGAAGTCGATGGAGCCCACGTACTTGGCGTCCGTGCGCTGCGGCTTGCGGTAGATGGGGCACTCTTAGAGGCGCGGGTCCTTGCCGGCCGTCGTGTTGATGGCGTAGATGTAGATCACCGGCATCTGCTCGTACAGCACCTGGCAGATGATTTGTTTCCTTACTACGTGTTGTGTCGGAGGTTAATTCACCTAAATGAACATTAAGAAATAACTATTCTAACACTAGGTGTGAGAAAAGATGGCACGCGAGAGCGGGGGCGAGGAGGGGGGGGCGCGTGGCGGCGCGAAGTAGGGTAGCGAAAGGGGGCCGATACGAAACGGGGTCGAGGTGAGCGTGGCGAGTGCGAGGGGGGGGGGCAGGGTGACGGTGGGGGCACGGGCGATGGCGGGCAGGTAGGTTGGGGTATGGAAGCGAGGCAAGGGCCGAGGCGGGATCGAAGACGCGGGCGTGTGCGACGGTGCGACGTCGTAGTGGGGTCCAGGACGGGGACAAGTGCTTGTCGAGGGGTGGGGGCGAGCGGCAGACAAGGGTGGGGCCGCGGCGGGGTGTAGTGAGTGAAAGCGACGGGCGAAGGTGAGGGCATGGGCGAGTCGAGAGGAGGGGGGTGCCGTGAACGGTTTTGAGTGATTGATGCCAGGGTGTGGCAAGGGCGCGGTGGTGGTGGGTGGCGAAAGCGAGAGCCGAGGGCTGGCGATGTGCGAGTGCGAGTGCGAGTGCCGAGTGGCCGAGAGAGAGCGGAGGCCGGAGTGCGACGGCGTGCGACGCGTGGAGGCCAACGGCGGGGGCGCAGGCACGGTTAGCGGGCGGGGATGGGATCGAAAGCAGATGACGAGGGCTGGAAGCGAGAGTGGCGATCTAGAGCGAAGCGGTTGACAGTGCGGTGTGCGGTGAAGCGCGAGGGCGAGTGCCGGAGTGCGAGGCGGAGTGCAAGGGCGAGGGCGGTGCGAGGGCGAATGCGACTGCGAGTGCAGAGAGGCGAGTACGAGTGCCGAGGGCAAAGGCAAGTGGCGAGTACAGTGCGAAAGCAGGGCGGAGGCGAGTGGTGAGTACGAGTGCGAGGCTTAGCAAGGGCGGAGTACGAGTGCGATGCCCGAGTGCGAGGGCGAATACGAGGGTGAGGGCGAATACGAGGTTGGGAGCGACGGAGGGGCGAATACGAGGGCGAGGCAGTGCGAGGTGCGAGTGCGAGTGCGGGCTGCGGGGGCGGGGGCGAGTACGAGGGCTAGTCAGGGCGAGTACAAGTTGCGAGGCGAGAGCGAGTGCGAGTGCGAGGAAAGGTCGAGTACGAGCTGCGAGGGCGAGTGCGAGTGTATGCGAGGGCGAGTGCGAGCAAGGGCGAGTTGCGTGAGGCGGGCAAGGGCGAGTACGAATTTGCGGAGGCGCGAGTTGCGAGCGCGAGTTGCGAGTGGCGAGTATGAGTGCGAGTGCAGACTGCGAGTGCAGGGCAAGGGCTGAGTACAGTGCAAGTGCGGAGGGACGAGGGCTGAGAGCGAGTGCGAAGGGGCGAGTACGAGTGCGAGGGCTAGCTGCGAGGGCAAAGCGGTCGAGTACGAGTCGAAGGCGTGTTAGTGCTGAGAGCGAGTGCGAGGCGAGTGCGAGGCGATGTGCGTGGGCGAGTGCAGTGGCAAGGGGCAAGGGCGAGTACGAATGCGGCATGGGCGAGTGCGCAGTTGCGATGCGCAGTACGAGTGCGAGTGCGAGTGCGAGAGCAAGGGCTGAGTACGAGGTGCAAAGTGCGCAGGGCCGAGGAGCGAGTGCTAGGTTGCGAGGGCGAGACGAGTGCCAGTGCGAGAACAAGTGCGAGTGCGAGTGCGTGCTGAGAGTGCAAGGGCGAGTTACGAGTTCTTATTGTTAGTGCGAGGAGAGTACGAGTGCGAGGGCGAGTGCAAAGAGCCAAATCCGGAGTACGAGTGCGAGTGTTTAGTGCGAGGGGCGAGTACGAGTGCAGAGCGAGTGCGTACGTGTAGGTGAGAGCCAGGGCAAGTACGAGTGCGAGATCGAGGCAAGGGCGAGGGCGAGGGCGAGGCGTGAGAGGAGGCGAGCGAGCGAGGGCGAGGGCGAGGGCGAGGCGAGGGCGAGGGCGAGAGCGCGGGCAAGGGCGGAAGGTTGTGGGCTGAGGGCGACGACGAGGGCGAGGTGCGATGCGAGTGCGAGGATAAGGGGCGTGACCGAGCGGCGGGCAGAGGCGAAGTACGAGTGCGAGGCGATGTGCTGCGAGGGCCAGGGCGAGTACGAGTGCGATGGAGCGAAAATGAGGGCGAGGTGCGGAGGGCGTGTGCTTGAGGGGCAAGGCGAGGGTGAAGACGAGGACAGGACGAGGGCGAGGGCAGAAGGGCGAGGGCGAGTTGTTAGTGAGAGGGCGAGTACGAGGCGGAGTTGCGAGGGCAGTCGATACGACGTGCGAGTGTTGTGCAGAAGGCGAGTACGAGTGCGGAGTGAGAGGGCGAGTGCGTGGGCGAGGCAAGGGCAAGGGCAAATACGATTGCGAGTGCGGAGTCGAGTGCGATTTGCGAGGCGAAGGGAGGGTGAGGACGAGGCGAGCGGCGAGCTGGAAGTGTCGAGGAGTGCGAGGGCGAGTGCAAAGGCGAGGGTGAGCTACGAGTGCGAGTGCGAGAAGGGCGAGGGCAAGAGGGCGAGAGAGCGCGGGCAAAGGGCGAGGTTTGGGGGGGGGCGACGACGAGGGCGAAGTGCGAGGGCGAGTGGCAAAGGCGAGGGCGAGTTACGAGTGCGAGTGCGAGGCAAGGGCGATGGGCGTTGAGGGCGGAGAGCCGGGCAAGGGCGAGTTGTGGGGCGAGGGGCGACGACGAGGGCGAGGGCGTGGAGGCGAGTTGCGAGGGAAAGACTGACGACCGCGGCGAGGGCGAGGATGAGGGCGAGCGCGAGGGCGAGGATGAGGGCCGGGCGGAGGATGAGGCAAGGCGAGATGATGGGCCCGGGCAGAGGATGAGGGCGAGGCGAGGATGAGGGCGATGGGGCAGGATGAGGGCGAGGATGAGGCAGAGGGCGAGGATGAGCGAGTGCGAGGCGAGAGTGCGAGGCGAGGGCGAGTGCGAGGGCGAGTGCGAGGCGACGTCGAGGGCGAGTGCGGAGGGCGAGTGTGAGGCGAGTGCGAGGTGAGTGCGAGGGCGAGTGCGAGGCGAGTCGAGGGCCGGAGTGCGAGGGCGAGTGCGAGGGCGATGCTGGGGCCGAGATGCGAAGACGAGGCGTAGGTGCGAGGAACGAGGACGGAGGCGAGGGCGACGGGCGAGTTGTTTAGTGGCGAGGGCGAGGGCGAGGGCGAGGGAGGAGGGCGAGGAAGAGGCAGGAGAGGGCGAGGGCGAGGGCGGGGGCGAGCGGCTGAGGGCCGAGGGCGAGGCGAGGGCAGAGGGCGAGATCATGCGAGCGAGAGAGAGGGCGAGCGAGAGGGCGAGGGCGAGGCGAGGGCGTGGGGGAGGGCGAGTGCAGGGTGAGGTTGGAGGGCCGAGGCGCGGGCGCGGGCGCGGGCGAGGGCGAGGGCCTGAGGCGAGGGCGAGGGCGATGCGAGGCGAGGCGGCGCGAGTGCGCGAGGACGAGGAATCGAGTGCTGGAGGACGAGGTCGAGTGCGAGGCGAGCGGCCGAGGATGAGGGCGAGGGCGAGGGTGAGGCGAGGGCGAAGACAGAGGCAGAGGCAGAGTGCAGAGGGCGAGGCGTGGGCATGGCGAGGGCGGTGGGCGATGGTGAGGCGATGGTGAGGCGAGGCCAAGGGCGTGGGCGAGGATGAGGCGAGGCGAGGTCGAGCCTGGGCGAGGGCGTGGGCTGAGGACGAGCGAGAAGCGAGGCCGATGGTAGAATGGGTGAGTGCTAGGTGAGGGGGAGCGAGGGCGAGGTGAGAGCGTGGGCGAGGGCGAGGGGGAGAAGCGACGGGCGATGAGCGAGCGGTGAGGGTGAGGGCGACGCGTGCGAGTGCTGAGGGCGAGGCCGAGGGCGAGGGCGGAGAGCGTAGGGGCACGAGGGCTGAGGGCGTCCTCACCTTGGGTTTGGGATTCCGACGATGGGCTCCCGGTGCGGCGGTCGAGCCCCGCTCCCTCCAGGAAAAGCCCGTGCACACGTACACGACCCTCGGGCGGCGAGGCCGTCAGCATCCCTCCTGGTTGCTGTGGCGGGTGATCATGTCATTGCAGCACCATCCGAGCCAGCGCCCAGCCTTTGGTTCGCGCGCGTCACCTCCTGTGTAAATCCACCCGCACTCTATTCAATGCTTTGCTACGAACTCTCAAAAGGGAAATCACTTTAAAATCTTATGCAGCAATCATTCGGTCATCAACAGCAAGAGAGAAGATTGATTGTATGTTTTCGGCTCTCATTTACTAAAGTCATTATCCGTTAAGTTGTAGTGAAGACTTCCGTTTTAAGGTGTTTGCCTCTCTTCTGCTTGATGGGGTGCCGGAGCGCCGACCGTCGAATTTGCCTTCCAGTTTGCCTTCCAACTCAGCGAGGCACCGGTAAAAGCCGGGACCAAACCCTAAGATTCGACTCGGTCTCTTGGATTGTTACGAGGAAAGACAAAGAACAGGACAAGGAAGACAAGAAATTGAAGATAAGTCACGATAAATTATCAGAGATCAGAGCAGCACGGCAACCTAAAATTCCTCCAGGCCAGAAGCTGAATTCGACCTAGCTATCTTATTACTAGTTTATAATGTTTCGAATAACCCCAACCACCGTCGGAACTTGACTTCTAGGTATTTCCGCTTAGAGTAGCTTAGTCAAGCGGCTCTGAGCCGCGAAATATAGACCGGTGTTTGGTACAGAGAAAGCAACCAAAAATTTCTGGGAATTATCGATTTATATTCCTTATATTTTGGTCCGGCAAGAGATAATTAAAGACAGTTAACGCTCAGTGGTAGTTATAATTTTTTTATGTTTTTGCCTAGCTTTAAGATTCAGAGTGCACCTTATTTTACTAATTAACTACTCTGTAAAAGGTAACTCGATTTGTGTTTTGTTATGTCCTTCCTGTAAATGTCTTTAATAAAATCTGTCTCACATAATTCCCCTCAATAAGAGAATACGTAGCATCATTAAACTTATTTCACATTTCCCTCGTAACCACGATCATCTCGATCCAGATAAGTTACGCATTGTTTATCGAGCTCCGTTCTCTCCTGAGGATCTCGCTAAACACTGAGGAGCTTGGACCTCGAGGGAGAAGGCTCGTACCTGTCGCATGGCGGTAAGGAAGCCTTGCGGGTTGAAGAAGCCGGTCATCCAGAAGACGTTGGGCCGCCCCTTGGCGCACCAGCGGCGGAACTGCGCGTCGCGCTCCAGCAGCTCCGTGTACCAGAAGCCCAGCGTCGCCGACTCCCACGACACCTGCGCAGTGCAGCCCCGCGCGCACGCCGCTCGTTCAGCGCTCCAAATAAAATGCTCCGGCCGCAGCAAGAGACACCGAATGAAGGAAGAAAAGTGTGGAATGTGATCAGGTGACGGGCTGATCTGGAAGTGATGTCAGTTGGTGGTCAACTAGAAACTCGAGGGACAACCTGGGCAGGTGAGTTTGAGTTTCAGTAGGGATGCCCGGGGCTGCTCTAGGTGTGATATATCAGAGGGTGGCTGAGTGGAAACACGAGGGAGAACCTGCGTAGATGAGTAAGAGTTTCAATAAGGATGGTCAGGGCTGCTCTGGGTGTGAAATACACGAGAGTGGCTGAGTGGAAGACAGGGAGAGACTGGAGGGAGAACCTGAGCAGATGAGTAAGAGTTTCAATAAGGATGGCCAGGGCTGCTCTGGATGTGATATATGAGAGGGTGGCTGAGTTGAAACACGAGGGAGAACTTAAGAAGATGAGTAAATGTTTCAATAAGGATGGTCGGGTCTGCTCTGGGAGAGATTCGTCAGAAGCAGAGCGAGCGGAAACTCGACTAACCAAGAGCTGCGTGGGGGAATTGGGGCGTGATGGCGTGGGAAGACTGAAATTTGTTGGCGCCTGGTATTTGAATTAATTTGAATTAATGTCTT